TTGTGTGTGTGTGTGTGTGTGTGTGTGTGTGTGTGTGTGTGTTACCTGTATGCCAATGTGAGCGCATGCCAGCTTTGTGAACTCAATACAGCGTCCGTCATTCACGTCCCACAGACACATCTCCCTGTAAGGGCAACAAGCTGCTGTCACACATTATGTACTTTGAAGAGCTTCCTCATACACAGAAGCCTAATCTGTTTTTAAGCTAATTATGGTTGTAGTAAAATGGACTGCATTCTTTTAGAAAACCACAGTGGTTGCAGTACATGAGAGGGTCCCTTTCATACACCAACAATGCCTCATCTCAAAAACCTCCAGCTCTGAAAATGACTGGAGGTGAAGTCAGGCAGTCTAATACACATTTACCACTGATGTGCTGTCCTGCACCAGTGCCTTCCTCTCAGACTTTTTAGTATTTCACACACTTATGCATTTGTTGGAGTTTGGCTCAGAGCTGGCTTAGAAGTTATGCTTTAAAAAATTTAATGTTTTAATTTAATTTATATGTTGTAATGACTTATTTCATTGTTTTTAACTTTTATCACCCTGTCCAAACTAAACCTCCTACAAAAAAATCCTCACAGCAGGCAAGCAGCAACCTCTGAGACTGAGAAATAAATCCAAAGAGTGCAGTTCCTTTTATGTCCATAAGTGAGTCAGTCGCTTATTAACTCCCATATTAAAAGACCCAAGTTTACAGGACTTTACAGACTGTTACAGAGAACAGTTTCTGCCTCTATGGAGCGCTTTATTTTTTATAAGGATCACAGTACACCCATCTGTTAACAGGTCATTAACAGATCAGTGTGTTATTGATCTATTAGCAGATGCACGTGTCTGCCAGTTCCATCTGTAAAAGCCCCGTACTCCACCCTTTCATCCAAATATGTGGACTTCTGGCTCCAATAAACCAAAATGCAAAAGGTAATAAAGTCTCAGTATAGGACTTTACAAATAAATGGACCACATTAGAGTCCCAAAACCTGTCGTTTATACAGTTTGTCTGTAACATGTAACCACTGTACAGGCATAACAATTAGGGCAGATGTGACACATATTTAGGATGAAAAGGCTCAAATTTAAATACCAGTCTTCAGAGTTTATTCCCAAAACTATTTTGACAAATCTTTCTGCAACTGAGCCACAGCACTGAAATGAAAATACTTTAAGACACAATTTAAAAAAAAATTAAAAAAAATCACAAGAAAAGAAAGGTGTACACACTGCAACTGTACATACAACCCACATGAACGTGTTATATAAAAGTTAGCAAAGAGAAGTCTCATGGAAGCACACTTCACGCTTGCTCACCCGCTCTCAGATGCACTGACGATGTACTGTTTGTCGTTGCATGCACTCGCTTTAGACAGGCAGGTGATGGAGGCTGTGTGACCAAACAGCATTGCCCTGGGACAAATCTGAGCAGGAAAAATAAGAGAGGAGCAGAGTGTTTGATGAGAGGAGGAGAAGCAGATTGAATAAAGCTGGAGGACAAACACTCACCTCCAACTCAGGCGTCATGTCCCAGAGACAGATCTGTCCATCGTGGCAGCCGGTGATGATGGTGCTAAAGTCATCCATCACCAGCAGGCTGCTGATGCAATGTGTGGGAGCTGTGCGGCCCCAGAGCACTATGGGTAGAACCAAGTTGTTCCCCGACATTATGGTGATGTGTCTAGAAACAGAGGAAACAATGAGGCTTAAGTGTGGCAGAAGTCTGCCTTAGCTTAATGGTTTTAGCAACATTTACATGTTTGAATGACTTCCTGGTTAACAGCAACCTGGAACAGTTTTGATTGGTGCGTTTTGGATCTCATGTTCATGCACAACAATCTGGAGGAAGTTTGATTTTACTCCAGCAAATAAAGCTGAATATCTAAGGACACCAATCAGAACCAGGATTAAATCTCAAACAGCTAAAATACTACTGAAATGATCATTTATGACCCATTTCACATGGGAATACTTTTTTAAACTTGACAAGTTTAAAAATTTGTTCTGCAGGAACAAATCTTTGAGTGTGTTTATATTTACAGTCCAAATTGTAATAAGTTACTAAAGCAGTGAGATAAATCTACCCAAGCACACCCTGCGATCTCTGCAGCTCTCCCTCTGCAGGTATCACTGTTAGAAAGCCTGAGGATGGCTGCTGTCAGTCTGAAGAAAGGTTTGCAACAAATATGAAATTTAGATTTAAAGATAACAGTTCATATGCAAACAGACAGCTTCCAGTTTAGCTTTGTTCTGTAGCAGGTCTGCACAATAAATATAATTTTAATCTGAAATCATAACTTTGGTTTCCCACAATGAAATGAATACGATCAAGTGATAATGAAAAAATGCTTGCTCTGCCAACAAAACAAGCTGTGTGGTGCAGTAAGCTTCATGTTTTCTGGATTAGTCTGTAAGAGCAACACTCCATTAAAAGACGGAAAGACAACAAAACTCAAACATGTGACAGCAGAAGGTGAAGAGTTCGTCCCTCGGTGCAGATCATCATCATACTCTGGATATTCTGCAAGTGATGTGACTCAAGAACAAATCTTATGCAAAGAGCGATAGAGAGTTTTCCTTTAAACAACAACTCAAAAAACACAATACAGAGACACAACAAAATCATGATAAAAATAACAACAATCATGCAGAACAACACAAATTGGAAGTCAGCAAGGATGACTGTTAAAAAAAACCACAACTTCAGTTAAGCAATAACAGGGCAGAAAGTTTGATTCTGCCTTGTAAAGTGACATTTTTTTTTTTACATCCTTTTGATCGCCATTAAACCATTTATTGATCCATAAACAGAGCCAATGTCATCCTGGAGGAGACCACATGTTTAATCGCGTGAGGCAAATCAGGCAATCATTCCAATCAGCATTAGTATTGATTGCAGTGACCCTTAGCTCCAAGGTGACAAGATTACTCAAAAGCAACAACAGAGCCTCCTGATACTCTCACTGTGGGAGCTCAAGAGTTCAGGACTTTGGACCAGCACACTCACAAAGTTAAACCATGCTGGAGTAGTGAAAACTAAGACCATTCATCCCCACTAAAGAAAAACTGAGGTGCAAACCAAAGCTGTGGCTCAAAGATTAACGAACGAATGAATCTGTGGTCCAAAACCCTGAGGTAAGTACTTAAACAGAGGCAGAAACTCATAAACCAATCTACAAATTAAATGGTGGCCCAAAACCTGAAGTAATGAGGTTGTACAAAGGAATAAATAAAACTGTGGCACAAATATCAGGATACAAATTGCAGTCATGGCTCAAAAAACCGTGCTTCATGGGAAACTATTAAGCTGCTGTTGCCCAGGACACGAGAGATGTTCAGGAAGACCTCCTCCTACAAGTGCAGATTCTTCATGATGCTTTCCACCAGGTCAGCCATGGATATACCGATAGTGAGCTTGATAACCAGAAGGACTTGGAAACTGAGTTACTAAGAGTAACTCCCGAGTGGGAAGAGAAACTCTGGCATTAACTCAAACAGTGGCCCCTGAAACGCGATCAGAAACGTCTTTACAGGCAGTACAGCCACGTGCTCACTTTACATCATATTTCTGCTCCTCTACTATTGAGAGTCAAAAAGGTTAATCCAGCTGCTCCAGTCTGACACAAACACACCATCAGTCTCAGGACAGTCACCCACACACAAAGGAGCAATAAAGCCAGACAAATAACACACACAACGTAAACATAATTAAGCCATCATCAGTAACCTTGGTGTCACTCGGGTTTAAAGCTAACACTGTTTGGATAAAACGGAGATGTTTAATTCAAGGCAAGCTATTAAGCTGGCAGCTGGAAAAATACCAGCAGCGGACATTTGATCTTAAATCTACCCATGAGTGATTAAAAGGATGCTGCACACCAGCTGCGCAATGACGTCTGAGGCGCTGAGGCTAAACTACACCTGCAATGTCGGGACTTCCAGGTTAGCAGCGCAGCTAACGGAACCAAAACATAGCGCTAAAACGTCTTTTACTCACCAAAAGCAGCGGCCCTACTGGAACATTTCCCACTAACAGTGGGGCTGAGTGGTAAACGGTTCCCTCTGTGGAAAATAAAATGCAGAAATACCCGTTTCTTGACTCGTTTCGTCTGTTTCTCCTAAAGACGCTCAGAGGTGCTCGGTCAGCTGACCATAGGACGACCGAGGAGCCGCATCCGGTAAACGGATACAAAATAAAACAAAATGCGCAGGGAATTCGTTATAAGTTGTAGCTCCTAAAATGCAGAAATCCACAAAAATCAGCGGAAAACTACAACCGGATGAATAAATAAAATACAATGAAATGGCTGGATGTGATATCATCGTGCCACACCTAAAAACAAAATTTCAAAGAAACACTTTTTTTAAATAACTAAAATAATGAAAAGTTTGACAGCGATATGGAGCCTTAAATACAACAACACAGCAAAATGATAGTAATAATTAAAATACCACTAAATTATAGTGAATAATGTATTTAGTTTCAATCTCAGTTTAATTTGTAGATATTATATACAATACAATACAATAGCTCTTGAATTTAACTGGAACTAACTACAACGCCGTAAATAAAACTAAAATAACAATAAAAGCAGATTTTTTAAAAAAAAGTATGACTCTTGTCTATCGCCTTGATGCGATCGGTTAAAATAAGCTTTACTTTGAAATTTTGCTCGCTTTTGAAATGAAACCGAAAACTTCCGGTATTCTCGGGGTTTTGTAATTTTTTTCCATAAAACGACCATCAACTTTATTTATTTTAGTGTTTTATGTGGTGTTTTCTCGCTTGGAATTTCCTTTAAATAGTCCTACAAAATTAAACGCCTGTTTTTGTTGTTGTTGTTTTTTGTTTGTTTGTTTTATTTTGGGGGGGTGGAGGGGGGCGTTGTTCGTTTGTGTAAGTCTCATCACATTTTTCATTTAAGTTTGGAATTTTTGTTTTTGTCTTTTTAAGCTAACCGGAAGTCGTTGTATTTGTTGTTGTTGTTGGCGCCAGCTGTAAAGCTTGACTTCCGGTAGTTTTGTCGTAGGGGGTCTACACGTGTTGGTGGACTCACTGAGCATTTGGGGACATTTTAATGTCTACGTGGTCTCTTTTGGACTCCCGTGTGTTTATGTATGATCGTGTTTAGCACCTCTGAGCGGGTGTCAAGATGCTCAGACGGAAATAAATAGAAACACGCGCTCGCTGCCGGCGGCGGGATAGCTAACGTTAGCTGAACATGCCCGAACTTGTTCTTCAACACGGACAGAGAGACAGACAGGCATCGTGGACACCGGAAAACCCGACTGCAGTTTGAATGATTTAACAGCAAACAAACATGGATTACCAGTTCCCCCAGGAGCTTTTTCCATCGTTTTATAACTGCGGGCCGCCGAATTTGGTGCAAAAACACAATGCTGGAGGCTGGGGCAGCTACGACCGGGTCAAACCTCAGGTGGGTCCCACGTGGATAATTCCGTGACTCCAGATCTGTCCGCATTCCTGCGGGGAAAATAATTATAACTTTGCTTATATGATAATTCAAGGGGTAAAATATACTAGATCATAGCAATATTTATGTTTAAGGTCTTTAAACTGAGGTTAAGTTATCACAGTAATGTGTGTGACAAATTCTCCCGTTAATGTCTTTGTTTATTTTATTTTATTTTTTTTATTTATCGGCAACCATGTGGTTTACACCTACCGAGTTACAGAACTGTTACGGCCCCTTTCTGGTTTAAACTACAACTTAAGATATTTTTAAGTATATTTCTTTCTCTTTTTTTGTAACCCAGCAGGTGGCTTGACTGTAACTGTGGGGGTGTTAAATGTTAGGCTCCAACTTTATTCGTGTTGGATGTGGTTGCGCTTTCAGGTTGGTTCTGGTCCTCTCTCCACCTGGACTTTCACATCCAGGCATCAGGTCGGAGGGGAGCTGTGGCGTCAAGTCGAGCCTGTGCCGGTCCCCCTCCTGGCTCCTAAACAAGGTCAGTCCTCAGTCAGCAGATCCTCCTCTGGTTCAGACTCCTTAATAAACTGTAGTGACAGCTGTCATAGCTCAGGACCAGATTTTAACATCTAAGGAAAGATAAAGCGTGTGCCCAGAATATAGAGCAGTTTTTCTCTTTCAGATACTCTTCACTTCAATTGAATGTGTTTTTCCACATATATGTAAGTTAATTTTAACTTTTTTTAGCTATTCTTTCGCCTTTGACGCCTCCGGATCCAATGAACTTCACCGAGCATGTAAGTGAGCCATAAAATCACAAAGAGACAAAATTTTATTTTGTTTGTTTTTGGTTTGGTTTTATTTTTAAGTTGTCTATTTTTTGTTTCATATATTTTTTCCAGTTTAACAAACTGAATTTTCTGGGCAGTGAAGAACTGTTTAATTTCTAATCAGCATTAAAGGGAACAAACAGTCCCAGATGACTCGTGTTAACAAACACTCATCTTTTCTTTGTGTTTAGATGAATAATTTTTTCATGGATCACTCCCTGGACGCCTTCGGCTGCATGAGCAACGTTCTGTCAGAACACTTCTCCTTTAAGCTAAAAGGGCAAAAAGAGGTGGGTGTCGTCACAATGGGGTTAAATTACTTCAGATGTGATCAAAATCACACCCTAATTTTATGGACATTTAATGTGGTGTCGCATTTGAGCATTTAATTATTTATTTTATCAGCCCAAAAGAACACAGTGAACAAATTATGACTCTTCCTTTGAAAAGGTAGTTGCTGTTTTCCTTGCCGCTGATTGAGTGGATATCATTCAGCTTGATTTGTGTTTATACACACTCCAAAACCACAATCTTGGGCTGCAGTTGACAAAGCTGTGCCCCCCAATGAGGTGGAGGGCCACTCCATCCAGATCCTGCAGCAGGTAGAGTTCATGCAGTTGGCGAACTCACTGAGGCTGTGGAGCAGAATATGGACTACCAGCTGCAGTACAGGATGAATGATTCACTGAAGAAGATGGATGATTTGGCAAATTTAATACAGCACAAATAGAACCTTAATGTAAAGGGCAGTTTAGTTTCAAATTATTTGCATTGTTTGGCTCCAAATATTAATCGGGTCTTTAAGATATTTAACAGAAGCAACCAAAAGCTACACTTTAACAGAGTGCCAGAAGACAGAGGTGAAAGAGGTTTACAGCATTTTTGGGACTGATGCCATTTACAGCAGAAGACAGGTGAAAAAGAGGAAATGCACAAAGGCCCAGAAATCAACATCCAGTGAAATGTAAACAAACTGGAGCCACAGACTTAAAATGTTTGTTTTCTGGTCCTAATGTTCTAAGAATAAAATTATTGCTTGGAGCCAGATACCATGCACACCTTTCTCGACTCTTTAAGTCATTGCCAAAATTGATCCACTCAGTCAGGATGTATTCGTTAGCAAGCATCATTGTTACTATAGCACAGTTGGTTTCTGGGCTATAGTAACAATGCAGCTTTTATGGTGTTGATTACAGTGCTGACTATCGCCAAAAGGTGGAGCCTGTTTCTGTTTGTTGTGTTGGATCTTGAGCTGAGAGTTTGAAGCAAACATTAACAACAGATTTTGTTTACCGTAAACATTTGTATATAAACACAGAAGAAAGCTGTGCAGTCGTTGGTCATCAGATTTCTGTTTGATTGCAGAAATATTTTAAGGATGCAGTGAGGATGGGGAGGGTGACCTACTTCCTGGATTTGCTGAAGGTTAAAATGTGAGTTGAGTTGATTGGTTGAAATTCCTGGATGTCGAAGCTTTGTTTTAGTTTTATTTTAAACACGTTTACCCCTCCCCACGCAGGTGCGAGCAGAAGTATCCCTGCCGGAAGCTGGCCCGGCACAGCTGCCAGCTGTATGACGTGGTGCACTCCATCCCTCCAGAGCTGCTCGGCTCACTGCTGTACGATGAGCTGGCGGAGCAGAGGGACCGCCTGCTGTTCTCCGAAGGAACCACAGGGGGTGCTCTGAGTTTTGTTCCCTTTTCACAGAGTGATGGTGGCTCTCAGCATGGCTGCCTCCTCTATCCTGGAAACCCTGCACTGAATACCCTCAGTATCCTTGAGTTTGGATTTAGGAAGCTTCTAAAGCAGCACTGTCAGAAATATTTTAGGTCCACAATGATCTTAAAACCATTAAAAAAAATTCTTTCACTTTTAAAGTACTCACTGGGTCAAAGCCAGGATTTCACATAACCATGGCTGCAGCTATCATTGGATAAAATGCTTCTTGCCCTTAACACAGTACCTGCAGACTTTCACAAGGTGGAGCTGCAGCACCACAGAGACAGTCCTTTCTGTGTGGATACCAGCAGCAAACCGTTCAGCTTCCCACTTAGAGGCCCCGTCAGACAGATCAGCACCGCCTCGCTGTTTGGCGAATGTGAGAGCAACTGTGGGGAATATTTGGAGATGACTTCAGGAGCATGGAGGCGTTTTTAAAGATGTTTGTTTGTTTGTTTTGCAGGTTGTGTGGCTGTGCGGTCGGATTACCTTTGTGGTGTTTGGAGGTTCAGTGAGAGAAATGAGCCACAGGCACTCCAGGTGGTCAGCACGTCGGAGGTCACGACCTGCATCAGCGCCAGGTTGGTGACAGTTCAAAGAGTGAAGTTGATGAGATGGATCTTTTTTGTGTGTGTATGGGGGCGCATGTGAGGCTAATCATCTCTGCTCTGTGCTGCCAGTCCTCATGTTTTAGGTGAAGTTCTGGTGGCGAGCGAGAGCGGAGCCGCAAACCTGTGGACGGTGGGGAAAGGGTGAGGAAGTCAATGCATTCCGCTCAGAGATGACAATGTTTAAAGGGAAGCGCAAACTAAAATTGACCCTCTGACCAATCAGGATGCAGAAGGTGCGACATGAGGACAGCAACCTGTACTTCAATGCCAAGTCTCCATGGAGATGGTGCGAGTTCACGGCCCACCCGAGAGTGGTGCTGTATGCGGACAGGACGGGGGTGGACCTAACAGACATCAGGGTGAGTCAGGAGGCTGGTTAACGTTGGCGATTTTGCTTCTGTACTCCACCCCAGTGGATTTTAAATCAAATGACTCCTCTAACATCTTCTTCTTCTTTCATTTCACCATCTCTCCTCCTCCTCGCCCTCATCTTCTGTCCCTCCAGGTGAGTCCGGCCTCCTGCCACACTCTGTTTCGTATCAGCAGCACCGCTGATTGTCGGAGCGGAGAGAGACTT